CGCATCCAGGTCTGGCTTGTCGCAGCTTGGAGCCAACAGCTGGTGCACATCCATCTGAACCTTGCCACTACATGGGTTCTTTCGAAGGAAAACTCATCAAATACCATCAAGCACAACACAATACAATACATATCAGGGACATTTTTTGAAATCAAGTGAAGTACATGAAATACATTGAAATTTGATGAACAACATCTCTTGTCATAAATCTCGCAACACAATGGAACATACGTCATCTTTGACCCGCCTGGAGTCCAGCAGCTGCCAGCACTGCCACCATGCGACCGGAGCCCTGCTTGGCCGCCAGACACAAAGGCGTCAGGCCCTCGTCGTCCTTGACTGTGGCAGCCTCCAGGCCCTGCGTGGCTTCGGGGCTCGGGTCAAGAGATGTGGGATCATCATCAAACATCAATTTTTATCAGTTTTTTGAAATTGACAATTGAAACGAGCAAATTATTTTTTCACCATAATTGCCACCAAACTTGGGTCGTCCCCTATCAGTTGTGAAGATTTTCGGTTTTTAAAAACATCAAGCAGCAAGTGGTGCTACTAGTAGTACTAGAGCTACTAGTACTAGTAGTACTAGTAGTACTAGTAATACTAGTAATACTAGTAGTACTAGTAGTAGTAGTAGTAGTAGTAGTAGTAGTAGTCGTAGTCGTAGTCGTAGTAGTAGTAGTAGTAGCAGGAGGAGGAGGAGTAGTACTGATACTACCGTAGATGGGCGAAATATTCAACCCCCTTCTATCCGGTCCCCTCGCCCCCAAAGTTCAATATTAATGCAACCTGAAGTGCATTAGCCCCAATGGACGAAAGAAATCAAACCCCTAACATCACTTTTGGTAACACGCGCGCTGAAACATTGAGATTTGGGGGTGCGGGGGTTCAACATAGTGTGTGTGTGTTGCAGGGTTTGAATATTTTGTCCATCTACTGCTGTAGTTGTACTAGATAGTAGTAGATAGTAGTAGATAGTAGTAGATAGTAGATAGTAGATAGTAGCAGTAGCAGCAGCAGCAGTAGCAGTAGTAGTAGTCGTAGTCGCAGTAGCAGTAGTAGTAGTACTAGTACCAGTAGTACCGCACAAGGCGGTGGCGGAAGTTTCGAAAATAGGAAACCTATAGGAGAGGTTGGTTGTTGTGAATCAGGGATGGCAGAGCGAAGCCACTGATGGACCGAAAGGTGCTTGAGGTCTCCTTTCTTTCGCTCTCTTTCTCTGACTATCTACCTACCTACCTATCTATTTTCTATGTATCTATCTATCTATCGATCTATCTATCTCTCTCTTTCTTTCATTCAATTACCCTATCTATCTATCTAATCTATCTATCTAATCTATCTATCTATCTATCTATCTATCTATCTCTCTCTCTTTCATCTGTCTATCTGTCTAGCTGTCTACCTGTCTATCTATCTATCTATCTCTCTCTCTCTCTTTCATCGGTCTATCTGTCTAGCTGTCTACCTGTCTATCTATCTATCTATCTATCTATCTATCTGTCTGTCTGTCTGTCTACCTATCTATCTATGGTGCACCTACCTACCTACCTACCTACCAATCTATCTATCTATCTATCTATCTATCTATCTATGTATCTATCTATCTATCGATCTATCTCTCTCTCTCTCTCTTTCATCTGTCTATCTGTCTAGCTGTCTACCTGTCTATCTGTCTATCTATCTATCTATCTGTTTGTCTGTCTGTCTATCCGTCTACCTGTCTATCTAGGTGCAGTGTCATTCAGTCTAATGTAGTGTAGTGTACTGTAGTGGAATGTAGTGGAAGGTAGTGTAGTGCAGTGTAATGTAGTGTAGTGTAGTGTAATTTAGTGTAGTGTAAATTAGTGTCGGGGAGGGTAACGGAATGTAGTTGTAGTTGTAGTGTAGTGTAATGTAGTGAAGTGTAGTGGAAGGTAGTGTAGTGTAGTGTAATGCAGCGTAGTGGAGTGTAGTGTAGTGTCATGTAGTGTAGTGCAGTGTAATTTAGTGCAGTGGAGTGTAGTGGAGTGTAGGTGTAGTTGTAGTGTAGTGTAGTGGGATGTAGTGTAGTGTAATGTCGTGTAGTGGTGCGTAGTGGAGTGTAGTGGAGTGTAGTGAAATGTAGTTGTGTAGTTGTAGTTGTACTGTTGTGGAGTGTAGTGTAGTGTAATGTAGTGAAGTGTAGTGGGAGCAGTGTAATGCAGTGTAATGTAGTGTAGTGGAGTGTAATGTAATGTAATGTAATGTAGTGTAATTGAGTGTAATTGAGTGCAGTGTAGTGTAGTGGAGTGTAGTTGTGTAGTTGCAGTTGTAGTTGTAGTCTAGTGGAAGGTAGTGTAGTGTAATGTAGTGAAGTGTAGTGGAAGATGGTGTAATGTAGTGCAGTGGTGTCTATCTGTGTACCTGTCTATCTATCTATCAATCTATCTATCGATCTATCTATCCATCCATCCGAATCCATCCATCTACCGTGAACTGATACGATCCTCATATTCCTAAATTGAAACTTCAACAGCTCCTACAGCGTTAACACAACAGACTACAAACACATGACGAAATCTAGCACATCCCTCTGACGTGTCTCCCTCATGGTGTCGTTCCGCAGTGTGTTTTTTTCCAAGCAGCGACGGACAAGAATCTTCGGCCGGGCTTGCAATGAAGCACAAATGCTCGAGTGCATCATCGTGCAGTCAGAAAAGACATACACGCTGGCATGTGTCGTGGCCGCTGCGGTCAGAAGCGCTGCGTGCCGTCAGCAGTGCCGCGGTGCGCATCTCTGCATGTGTCCCGCTTTTCCCGACGGTAACGCCGCGGGCAGAAAAGCCACACGCGAGGTCACTGCCATCTCCGCCACGCAGGCACATCCGGCATCTGCGAGGCATCAGCTGGGTTGGCGCGCCACCCAGCAGCACTCGCCCGGGCAGCTTGCCGCTGTCGCATTTCAGGATGAATCCAATCAGGGTCGAAATAGGAACACTCGTCGAAAAGCTTCAAGTATTCACGGCGAAGCAATTCATCCTCCGTGCGCCTCACCTGCGGCCACTCACTGTCGTCGTGCAAGATTTTCAAGATGGTAACGGCATCAGCAACGGTGAGATGCCTTCGAAGAGCGAGCCACATGGCAGGACTTTCTGCCAGGTCTTGCAGAAGGCTTATCGCTTCCTCTGGCGGCCGACGGGTTCTATCAAGGCATTTCTGCGCCGACTCAAGGGTGCGAGCATGCCTGAGACACACGTCGATGCTCCAAGATCCAGCGCGCCATTTCCTTGGGTCGATGGTTGCAGGCAAGTGCTTGTTCAACATGGCAAGTAGAAGATGCGGTAAGAAAAGACACACAGCTCCAACAGGTGCGACGGGGAGGCAACAGGACTCCTACGGAGGTGAGAAGGCTAACCGTGATTATTCATTTTTTGCTGCTGCATCCTTGGCTGTGCATAGGCGAGACATATGTCTACAACAACTACATGCTTCATGAGACGAAGTCATCCACGGTCTGATGAATCTTTGCTTCCAATGTACACACTTGGAGGCGACAAACATCGCAAAATGGCATCAGTCAGAGATGTACAACACGAACTTGACCCAAGGAACGTCGGTGAACCTAAAACCATCAAGATCAACAAAGATCGTTTGAGACACAACCCGTGTTGAGACTGCTAACCCGTCGTAAATGAAGATGAACATTTTCATGACTAAAACCCAAACGTTTACACATCATTCATAGGATGACAGTCATATCAGAACAATACCAACATATTGAACATTTTGCACATATTGATGAATCCACCATGAAAGGACAACAGACATTCTCTCATCCAATGGACATGTTTCTACCATAAACGTCGATACAAGATTAGAAAGACAGCTATCATGCAATGGTATAACCCATAACATGAAACGAATTCTTCGGCATGCAATGAATTACGGATGCGGTACTCAACCCGTACTAACCCGTGAGTTTTGCCAGGAAAAAAAAACGCATCAACATGCGAACTTGCTCCAGCATAGAATTCAAAACAACAATCAGACTTCAAAAATTATCAGGTTTTGGAAAGCCTCGGGTTTTGTGTGTAAACCCTGGGTATTTGAACAAAACCTAGAAAAACTTTGGTTTTGGATTTGTAAGGTATATATACATATATATATATATATCTCTCTCTCTCTCTGTCTATCTATCTGTCTATGTCTCTACCCATCTATTTCTCTATTTATCTTGGTGTCTAACTATCTGTCTATGTGTCCATGTATCTATCTGTCTGTCTCGCCATCTATTTCTCTAGCTGTCCCTGTAACTATTTATCTATCTGTCTGTCTATCGGTCTATCTATTTATCTATCTGTCTGTCTGTCCATCTATCTATGTATCTATTTATGTGTCTATCTATCTATCAACCTATCTATGTGTCTATCTATCTGTCTATCTATCTGTCGATCTATCTATCTATCTATCGATATATCTATCTATCTCTCTCTCTCTATCTATCTCTCTGTCTATCAATCTATATCTCCATGTATCTGTCTATCTCTCCATGTATCGATCTCTGTATCTATCGATCGATCTATCTATCTATCTATCTGTCTGTCTGTCTGTCTGTCTATCGATCTGTCTGTCTTTCTGTCTGTCTATCTGTCTAGCCATCTATCTATCTATCTCATCTACCCAGCTGGCCCCTCTCTCTCTCTTTCATCTAATTACCTATCTATCTATCTATCTATCTACCTACCTGTCTATCTCCCTCTCCATTTCATCTCTCTATCTGTCTAGCTGTCTACCTGTCTATCTGTGTTGCAGTGTCATTCAGTGTAATTTAGTGTGGTGTAGTGTAATTTAGTGTAGTGGAGCGTACTGGAGGAGTAATGTACTGTAATGTAGTGTGACTTCGAAGTGTGCTTCGCGCCACAACGGCGTACACTTTTTTTCAACATCTGAACCTCCAAAAATGGTCCGAAACCCTAGTGTTTTGTACATTTTGACTTCGAAATGTGCTTCGCGCCACAACGGCGTACACTTTTTCGACATCTGAACTTCCAAAAGTGGTCCGAGCATGGTGTGTTTTTAACATTTTGACTCCGAAATGTGCTTCGCGCCACAACGGCGCGCAATTTTTCATCGCTCCTGTGGCCAGCTGGCTCCGCACCCGCCGCTTTAGCGAGCCTACTTTTCGACCCTCCGGAGCCACAAATCATTGGAAAAACACAGTGTTTCGCGACTTTCCTACCTTTTCGCGCATCTGTATCTTCTGTCTTCTTACTCTTTCTCTTCTGATCTTCTCTCTTCTAATCTTCCTCTTCTCTCTGCCTCTGCCCTGCTCTGCTTTTCATCTCTCCATATTGTCGGAAGTTTGACTTCTAAACTTCCTTCGACTAGTACTAATACGAATACTAATACTAATGCTAGTAGTACTAGTAGTAGAACTAGTAGTAGTACCAGTAGTAGTAGTACTAGTAGTAGTACCAGTAGTAGTACTAGTACTAGAACTAGTACTAGTAGTAGTACCAGTAGTAGTACAAGTAGTAGTACTAGTGGTAGTTGCAGTAGCAGTAGCAGTAGCAGTAGGAGGAGTAGTAGGAGGAGTAGGAGGAGTAGTAGGAGTAGTAGGAGTAGTAGTAGTAGTAGCAGGAGTAGGAGCAGGAGTAGTAGCAGGAGTAGTTGGAGTAGGAGGAGCAGGAGGAGCAGGAGGAGTAGGAGTAGGAGGGGTAGGAGGAGTAGGAGGAGTAGGTGGAGTAGGAGCAGGAGGAGTAGGAGTAGTAGTAGCAATCAACGTTCAAGTCAGCTCTCTACTACTTTCAAATGCTAATAGCCTTGTCGGATACTCATATATATACATATATATATATACACACATATATTTAATATGGATTATATAAGTATAATCCGTCATTTTAATTATATTGTATTGTCAAGTAGTCAAACCAAAGTATACGTCGTACATTTTGTGTGTGTGTTCATTGCGCATTGCGATGTATCATGATGTAACATAGACCCGGGCAAGCCGGCGGCGGAAGTTTCCCAAACATAAATGACCTATAGTTCAAAGACACCCTGTCCCGACCGTGTCCTTCCCTCGACACTCCACACCTCACACTGCACACTGCACTCTTCGCACTCCAAACTTCAAACTTCACACTCCACACTTCACACTCCACACTTCTCACTTCTCACTGCTTCCTTCACACTCCAAACCTCACACTTCACACTTCACACTTCACACTGCACACTTCACACTTCACAGTCCACACTTCACACTTCACACTTCACAGTCCACACTTCACACTTCACACTTCACAGTCCACACTTCACACTTCGTACTTCACAGTCCACACTTCACACTTCACAGTCCACACTTCTCACTTCGCATTTCACACTTCACACTCCACATTTCACACTTCTCACTTCTCACTGCTTCCTTCACACTCCAAACTTCACACTTCACACTTCTCACTTCGCACTTCACACTCCACACTTCTCACTTCTCACTGCTTCCTTCACACTCCTAACTTCACACTTCTCACTTCGCACTTCACACTCCACACTTCACACTTCACACTTCACACTTCTCACTTCTCACTGCTTCCTTCCCACTCCAAACTTCACACTCCAAAACTCACACTTCACACTTCTCACTTGGCACTTCGCACTCCACACTTCACTCACACTTCACACTTCACAGTCCACACTTCACACTTCTCACTGCTTCCTTCACACTCCAAACCTCACACTTCACACTTCACGCTGCGCTCTTCGCACTCCACACTTCACAGTCCACACTTCACACTTCTCACTTCACACTTCTCACTGCTTCCTTCACACTCCTAACTTCACACTTCTCACTTCGCACTTCACACTCCACACTTCACAGTCCACACTTCACACTTCTCACTGCTTCCTTTCCACTCCAAACTTCACACTCCAAACTTCACACTTCACACTTCTCACTTCGCACTTCACACTCCACACTTCACTCACACTTCACACTTCACAGTCCACACTTCACACTTCTCACTGCTTACTTCACACTCCAAACCTCACACTTCACACTTCACGCTGCGCTCTTCGCACTCCACACTTCACAGTCCACACTTCACACTTCTCACTTCACACTTCTCACTTCTCACTGCTTCCTTCACACTCCAAACTTCACACTTCTCACTTCGCACTTCACACTCCACACTTCACAGTCCACACTTCACACTTCACACTTCACAGTCCACACTTCACACTTCACAGTCCACACTTCACACTTCGTACTTCACAGTCCACACTTCACACTTCACACTTCACAGTCCACACTTCTCACTTCGCATTTCACACTTCACACTCCACACTTCACACTTCTCACTTCTCACTGCCACTGCTTCCTTCACAACTCCGAAACTTCCCACTTTCAACACTTCACACTCACGCTGCGCTCTTTCACCTTCTCATTTCGCACTGCTTCCTCACACTCCTACCTTCACACTTCACTTCGCACTTCACAGTCCACACTTCACACTCCACACTTCACACTTCTCACTTCTCACTGCTTCCTTCCCACTCCAAACTTCACACTCCAAAACTCACACTTCACACTTCTCACTTCGCACTCCACACTTCACTCACACTTCACACTTCACAGTCCACACTTCACACTTCTCACTGCTTCCTTCACACTCCAAACCTCACACTTCACACTTCACACTTCACGCTGCGCTCTTCTCACTCCACACTTCACAGTCCACACTTCACACTTCTCACTTCACACTTCTCACTTCTCACTGCTTCCTTCACACTCCAAACTTCACACTTCTCACTTCGCACTTCACACTCCACACTTCACAGTCCACACTTCACACTTCTCACTTCTCACTGCTTCCTTCCCACTTCACACTTCACAGTCCACACTTCCACTTCACACTTCTCACTTCGCACTTCACCTCCCACTTCACCACTCACACTTCACACTCTCACAGTCCACACTTCACACTCTCACTGCTTCCTTCACACTCCAAACCTCACACTCACACTCACACTTCACACCGCTGACGCTCTCGCACCCACACTTCACAGTCCCACTTCCACACTTCGCACTTCACACTTCTCAACTTCGCCTGCGCTTCCTTCACACTCCAAACTTCACACTTCTCACTTCGCACTTCACACTCCACACTTCACAGTCCACACTTCACACTTCTCACTGCTTCCTTCCCACTCAAAACTTCACACTCCAAACTTCACACTTCACACTTCTCACTTCGCACTTCACACTCCACACTTCACTCACACTTCACACTTCACAGTCCACACTTCACATTTCTCACTGCTTC